ACCTTTGTACACGACATCGCATGTGAATAAGTCGAATTGTTCCTTCGACTTATCGATGTATCCAGGCAAGAGTGTGACCTCGAATACGTTGAGTGACACTTTCAACAATGTCTCCAATGCGGCGAACTTCTCTTCACTTGCGTCGAATGGGACGTTGTCGCGAATGCCCATCGCCTCCTCTACCTCGTGAATTGTCACTCCGAATACCTTGTTCTTCTCAGGGTGCTTCCACCACTTGTTGTACACGGTTGCATCGCCAATCTTGCAATTCGCGACGATCTTGTGCCCACCTTCACTGGCCAGAATGAGACACCGTTGCAGGCACCGGTTGTCATCGAAATCCGGGTTGAGCGCTGTGCGTCCGATGACGAACGGTGTGTGCTGCTTGTACCCCACGAATGAGCGTAGTGGGAACATCTCGATATGGAAGCCGATCCACCCAGCGTACACGAAGCCACTGCCCTCTGTCTCTTGTTCCTCTACGGCATTTCGGTACCACTTCAGGTACTCCTCGATCCACTCATCGATGCGTTCTCGTCGTACGATGCGAAGGTGTCCCAATCGATCATCGGTGAGGTTGAGGATCTTGGGATCTCCGTCATGTGTCAACATGAGGTTGTATGCCATGATGGTGATGAAGCACTGATTGTATTCACGCATACCATTGAGGATGTACTTCTTCAAGACTTCATTGAATTCATTTGTCTCATCGAATATGAGATTGATCGGTTCCACTTCCTCATCGCTCTTCTCACCCGGTAGTCGAACCCACAACCTGTTGTCAAAATCGTTGTTGAGACGGAAGTCCTTCTTGGTGCGCTTCTCCTTCACCCACTCCTTGTACATGTCTCCTTGTACGGTGTGATAGTACGTGAGTGCATACCCGAGAGTTGAATCGATCACATCACTCAATCGTCCCTGTGATACCTTGCGATCGAATCGTTCGTATGCCTTATTACGTCTCATTTCACGTCTCTTCTCCACGGTGTTCAGGTAAGCGGGTAAGTGACGTTGTCGCTTCTCACCGAACTTGTGCCCATCCCACTCGTACTGGTTGTAGAGGTCATTCCATGCCTCGCTTCCTACGTACACGTGCTTTCCCTCGATGGCAGGGTTTGCTACTCGCTTACGACGTGTTGCCTGTCTTTTCGGTGTTGCTGTTTTCATCCCGAATATCTTGTTCGACACATAGGCTCTCGTGTCAGGCATGGTCTGATCGGTGAACGTATCGCCGACCCTGTAGTACTTGGCGGCCAATCGCTTCCAGGTCGGCCCACCGATCTTGATTTGTTTTTCAGTCTCAGGGTTGATAGTATATCCTTCGCGTTGTGAATCCATTTATATAAGGGTCACAAAATCTTTAAGTGGTGATACACGTGTGACCAAAGTGAAATAGTTAGGAGACTGTTGGGGAGACGACTTCGTCGTCTCCCGGGGAAGCTACGCTTCCCCATGTTGGTCCCCTAGAAGAGGGGCAACGTACGTTGCCCCGGGATGCCTTCGGCATCCCTAGAATGGGAAAATGGCATGGCCATCCGCATCGTACTCGAATTCATCTATGTCGTAGAACTCGGATTCCGATGAATCAGAATCACTAGAATTGGGGTCAGCGAACGCCATGCTAATGTCTGGATCATTATCGTACGCCTCGGCTTCTTCTTTGCTCATTTTTACCCATCGTCCTTTCACGCGTCTGTAGTTGTCACGGATCAACTCATTGTATGCTGTACCACCAATGATTAAGGGACGATTGCTGGGAGAAATCATTCTCGACTTGGGAACGTATTTCGTCGTACCTGGTGGTAAAGGTTTGTCGTACAAGCGATTCAATTTCTCGTCGTACTTGTATCCACGCTTGAGAAGGTTCCAGAAGCGAACTCCGTTGATTTGGATTTCTCGGCCAGTATTGGGGTTCAATGTGTGAGTAGGTCTATTCATTTATATATTTATATATTTATATTTTCTCTTTTAACCCTAGATGCTTCCCTAAATGAAGTACAAGAAAACAGAAAACAACACATGGTCTTCCCTGGTACGCACTTGTGAGGACGAGAATATCGAACTCGCCGACATCATCATTCACACTAAGTATCCGATCAATTCCGAGCGTCTATTCGGTTTCAGTGTTTGCACTCCGCAAGCAAATGTGAACTGTGGTTTAATATTGCACGACTATGATTGCATGGAGATGACGTTGGATGAAACTCGTCCACCCTTGTTTACCGAGGATGAATGGGAGTATCTATTGCCTCAATTGAAATCCAACGGTTTGCTCGGTGTGCCTCTGAACGTGTTCTGTAGGACGTATGACACACAGCCTTATCTAGGGGGAGGCATAGCCTCCCCCGGGGCAGCTTCGCTGTCCCCCTATGTCGTACCTGTGGTAACCGAGAATCGTGCTGTTTACTTCTTCTCCAACTACTATGTTCGCGTGGTCTTCAAGGTGGTGGATGATGAAGTGCCTCCCGAGTTGTCCGATCTGTTCATCGATGATGGTGCGTGTCTGAAGGGTGTGTACGTTCGTGCATATCAACGAAATCATCCAAAGTAAATAAAAAAGTAAAATGTCGTACATTTTCAGCAGCAATGGAAACAACTACACGTTCAAGAAGCTCGACAACATGCTCATCAACATGCCAGAGAAGGACGGTCATCATGTATTAATTCGAGAGACAGTGGATGGTGTTCCTCAATACTCGTGGGGGAGTGCGGCTTGTATCGTGAAAGCGAACGAAGCATTTGTCTTCGAATACACACCAGAAACTACCGAATCATTCAATGCCGAATGGGGTGGTGATGGTATGCCGCCTATGCCATCCGGATCATACCTGATAACCACGACTGTCATAACGTACCTTCCTGACGACGTGTTCAACGATTGTACGTCAATCGAATCGGTGGTCGAAAAGGGTTATCGAGTGCTAGTCACGTTTGACAACACGCCTATTCTAGACAGACCCTACATCGATACATTGAATAGTCTTGTGTCTCATACTGGTTATGCTGTTGTGAATATTGGGGGAAGCTTGGGAGGCAAAGCCTCCCGGCGGAACGAAGTTCCGCCAAGCAACGCTTCCCCCTACAACTCTCCTGTCCTTCGTACGTATTCGAATCTTCCTCTCATGCTTCTAGGTGGTGTGAAGAGCATCACGATCGTTTTCGAACATCTTGGGGACGCTTCTTCTTCTGGCTCCTCGTAATGGGTCGATGTGACCTTGCTGCATCTCGCAATGCATTGGGTTCCTTTCGACTCTTGGATCGCGTGACTGGAGGTGCTGGCTGTGGTTTGCATTTGCTCGCCAGGAGTTCCCAATGATAACACTTCTGCTTGCTACCGCTTTCCATATTCTTCACTTCGTACATCAATGGCATGAATCGATCGTCAATGTCAACAACTTGATACAAGTCCTGAGACCATTTGCTCGTCAATGATCGCTTTTCCAGAACGCGAGGTCTTCGTGTCACTCGAACATAATCACCCACATCGAATTGAGGTGTTGTGTCCTTCGCTGTCATGTTGGATGGTTCTGTCTTCTCCGTGTACAAGATGTTGTTGTTCCAAATGTCAGTGGGTGCATATCCGGTGTCTCTGTTCTTCCTTGCGTTGTGTCTACGAACGGCACCATCGATCAAGTCGAACCACACACCTTTCGATTGATTGAATGGAACCATGATGTCTTCCTTGATATCTCGAATTGCTCGTTCGGCTAGTACTGCTTTATTCGCTGAATCCATGTGATACATGGTGATGTCGTACTTGTCCAAGATGTTGGTACGAAAGATGGCATTGGTGAACTCGGTGCCTCGATCAGAGCAAATATGCTTTGGTGCACCGTATGTCTGAATGATATCCTTCATCGCATGCGTGACTTCTGTGGCACTCTTGCTTTTCAGTCGCCGAGCCATCAGGTATTTCGAATATCCATCAATGCACACAAGGACATACTTGTATCCACGATTCTTGTGGAATCCTGTACTCTTCTGTCTGCCCAACACTTCCTGAATCCATTTGTCTTGTTTGGAAGAGAAATCGATGAGATCGATGAAGTATATGTTTCTCTTGAATGAACTGTTGATCACTCGAGTGGCACCTTTTCGCTTGGCTGGTTTCCGTAGTTCCTTGATTTCATTCATAAATGAACCGCTTTATTCAATGGCTGAAAAGTGCATGGAAATGGATGAGTGGAAGGAAGAACCACAAACTGGTGGTTGATTCGAAATGCAAGGACAGATGTCACTGCTTGTGCGTGTACAACGAGAAGAATGGATCCGATGACGACAGTGGGAGTGATATATCTGTACACTCGCCTACATTGGGCGAGACGGATATCAAGGTAAGGTAGGGACAACGAGGCATAGCCTCCCCATGAGGTAAAAAACATTTAAACAGTGTAAACATAAATAGAAATACAAATGAACTGTTGGATGACTGAAGAGCGAAGCCAGATTGCACGACAATACGTGCACGACATGATCAACTCGTTCGTCGAGGATCCACAGGGTGCAAATTATCACGACGAGTATAATCCACCATACGTGTCGTTCTATTCACCTGATATTGAGCTACTTCTCGAGAAAGCATGTTATAAAGATAAGTACGTGAATGCGCACAAGGAGTTAGCTGAGTTCAACGGTTTAGATCCTGATATCTATGATATCGAGGGTCATCGAGTGCGTGCATTGAATGGGATGATTGACATCGATATCGATGGTGTTGCATTTGATCAACTCGAATGCGATCGATTGAGAAGACTTGGGGAGACAAAGGATAGTAAGTCTTCCCGCTTTCACGTTAGACTGCCTCCAAAGTAAATATGGTAGCCTTTTTTCACTTTGGCTGCAGCAATTGCTCCCATTTGGTCTCTTCAACAGGCAACCATGTCGCTTAGGGCAACAAGGACTGTCTATTGGGATAAGAATGGATGGACCATCCTTGTTATCCCTAGGGACGCCCTTATTGTTCTAAACGACACGGTTGCCCGTTGCAGACTTCGGCTCCCCTAAAGTTCGACGATGGTTACTTGGAAGTTCGAGTATAAGTGCGAGATGGTTGTATCACCACTGCGTGACACAACGAGTTGTAATCCACCATCTTTTAACGGTGAAAATATAGATGTGCCAGAGACGTTCATTGTTGGGGTCGGGTTGTCAAGTGTTGTCTTCAGCAACGTTGCTCGAAACGTAGTGATTGCCAAGGTCGGTGTGCTTGTAAAGCCTACGAGTGCCTGCTCGTAGTTACCACACTTGAGACTCAAATCGATCGTGACCAGGTACTTGCTGTTCGAAGATAACGTGAGATCTTCCGTCAAGTTCGAATTGTCTGATCCGAGTGTCTCGGATACGACGCTATGACCACTACCAGACCAAGAGTACGTGAACGTCTTGGAGAACTTGGCAGGTGGTGTTGAAAAGGATACTCCACTGCTACTAACGTTCAAGACGTATGATCCTGCTGTAGTCGGCACGGTCAACTTGCTCACACTCGATCCATCGTTGTACACAAGGCAGCGTTCCGTGTTAGTGCAACCGAGGATGTCCTGGTAGATTACTGTGGAGTTAAGGATGCTCGTCGTGGGTAGTTCAGTATTTTTTTCGTTCTTGAAGACGAAGTAGCCTGAGGAGCTATTCATCGCAGGCACATCCACACCGAATGCACTATTGCCCTTGTAAGCAATAATACTCAGGTTCGTTGACTCTACCCCGAGAGCTTCGTGGAACAGTCCTACGGCATTCAATTCGCTGAATTCGTAGGTATTTCCAAAAGCACCAGCGTCCGTTGCTTTCAAGATGTACGTCCCGGACTGATCTGGCAGGAATAGGTTTGTATGTGAGCTAATTGTCGAATTCCAGTTGACAATAGCGTACTTGTTCGACGTGTTGCCGAAACCTAATTCCGTGCTGATCGTAGACTTACTGAATGTCGAGAATGAAGGCTCACCATCGTCCTCTATGTTCAGCAAGTACTTGCCACTACCCGGCAGATCGAGTCCGCCGAATGTGCTATTGTTGACAAAGTACGGAATCGTTCCTCTGGTGGCAATGGTGATCGCCTGGCTGTTGCTGTCTTTGAAGTACGAGTTGTCGAGCGTGGTGAACTCCTCAGGCTGATCGGGTACTACGGCACCCGAATCAACCCAGGTGAAGTCGTTGTTGTAATTGCTGAGCACGAAGGTGCCATTCCCACTTGGTAGTGGGAAGGTCTTGAATGCTCCATTATGGTAGTACTGGAGACCAGTCGTCATCTCCTTGCGTTTGAACACTCCATTCTGGAGATATACAAGTTTCTCTGATGAGGTTGACATTTATTATAAGGCGAGAACGATTTTTCTCCCTATAGTAATCGGGGAGCCTGGGAAACCTTCGGTTTCCCGGAGGCGACATTGTCGCCTCCCTGTCTGCGGCTCCCCGGGCGAGAATGAAAATTCTCGCCCTATAATAAATGGCAACTACAATTCCTCCTGTGCATAACTACGAATCGCAGATTGTGTTCAGCAATCAGACCAATAACATCAAGTCGACCGATGTGATCAATTGGACGATCGCACCATCTGGTGATGACGTGTACTTCAATCTGTACAAGTCTCGAATGACCTTCAAGCTCAAGATCACCGGATTGGCAAATAATGGAACTGGTGCACCCAAGGTTTTCTATGTTCCAGTGAAGAAGAACATGTCGGGCATCGTGAACAACACGAAGGTCACGTACACCTATTGGAATGGTGAGAACTTGGCGTCCTTACCTCTGAGTGCTGACAATGAAAACATCGGTCAGATCCGGTCACTCTTGAATGCGCTCACGGACAACAAGCACAACAATGTGGTGAACGAAGGACTGAAGGAGCTGTCCTACATCTACTACGATGGTCGTGACTACGATGGTGATGACGATAAAACCGAGAGAGCTGCGGTTAACATGGGTCGACCCTATGACGGCAAGTTGTTCTACAACATGCTCAAGTTCGTACAACCAGCCAATTCGACCATGGCATACACGACGATCAATGTGAACTTTGCGGATATCTTCGAAGGATGTTCGCAGGAACGATTCATCAATCTCACGCAGATGGATGCTCAGATCTATCCCACCAACGATGATGCATACTTCTTCATCGAAGGAGGCAATATCGAGACCGCAGCCACCCCGGATGGCATACCCGCCGACACGGCTTTCAGTGGTGTGTACTTCGATACGTGCACGCTGTGGTATCACAGTTACAAGACGAGCGATGATTCGACGTTCGATCCTGAGGACACTCAGTTGGTGAAGAACCAGATCATGACCAAGACGTTCCGCATTCCAAGTGGACAGGGATTCATCGATGATCGTGTGTTGGTCAACTTCCCCGTCAAGATGATGTTCATGATGTTCACGGACGACTATGGTGATTTCTCGGAACTCCTTGATGTGCGATTCAAGCGGATCTCATTGAACATCGCTGGTGAACAGAAGCGCATCATCAATGTGGACAATACGAACACACCCGACGGCATTGATCACACGTTCTTCGAATGGATGGACTATCTTTGCAATAGTCGTTCCGACGAGTATGACACGCTGTTGACGTACAAGACCTGGTTGAAACAGTTCCGCATCTTTGCCTTCCCGTTGGCCGAGTGGTTCCCGATGCGAGCATCGAATCAGATCCAGTTCGAAATCGAATTGGACAACACTGTGGCAAATGCACCCAACGGCGGGAATACGATCCAGATGCACCTCATCATGATCCGTGCCAATACAGTGGGAGCGTAAAACGCTCCCGGGGCAGCTATGCTGCCCCACAGGTGGGAGCGTAACTTGGCGGAACTTCGTTCCGCCGGGAGGCTTTGCCTCCCAAGCTTCCCCACGCCTAACTAATATCACTTAAAGATTTCAATAAATAAATATAAATAGATATGAGCAACAAGATTCAGGTTTTCGATCTTTCCAATGCTTCCAATGTGTCTCTCACTTCCACTGGATTCAAGAAAGAAGGCGAATCGGCGAAGTATGTTTGTAAGATCACCGATGCTACCATTGTTTTCGTGGGTGATAACTCAAAGTTCAACACTGACAAGAAGAAGCAATTCAACACTATCTCCATCACACTTCCCAAGGAGCAATCGGAAGAGTTCAAAAGAATTCTTGATGAAACGAAGAAAGAGAGTCGATCGTACAGTGAATACGATGGTGAGATCCAGTTCAAAGTGAAATTGAGTCCGAGCACGAAGATCGTGAATAACGACAAGAAACCGATCAAGATCGATCTACGAAATGTACCCTGTACTGATCTTCGTGAATACAAGGACGCAACGATCGATATCGTACTCACCGGTTCGAGCAATGAATTCACGAGTAAGACTAATGGGGAGAAATTCTCCTTCACCTCACTCAGCGCAACCCAAATCAAAGTCAAGTGCATGAATAGTGTATACGAGTGTGATTTCTTGTAAATAACGTTCTTTTTCACTTTGGTCACCGTGGTCACCGTGGCTACCTTTTTTCACTTTGGTCACCATGCATACCAAAGTAAATGGAAGATAGTCCGTACATTCCCAACATTGATACAACATTGCTCGCTATCAAGAATCGAATAAGACGATTTAACCATCGATGTCCGTACAACAACAAACGATTGACGAGAAGAACAGAAAATACGCTCAATCAAGCCGAAGTAATGCAGGATACCATCAAACAACGGATGGAGAATGAGACCGATGAAGAGAAGAGCAAGCAATATGCCAAAATACTGAGAGAACTAGCCGACTACATCCAGCCAGAGCAAACCATTGACGAGCAGTTGCAGGACCTTCGACAGAACAAGGAGAGCATGGGCATTATGAAGTTCGACTGGGAACTCGATTGTCAGGACACATTCCTCAATCAATTCACACTCATCATTGCTCCTAGCAAGTCGGGCAAGTCGTTCCTCATCAACCAGTTGTGCTACGAGATACCTCACTCGTTCGACAAGATCTGCTTCTTCATGGGAAAGGTGAGCTATGAAAACAAGTGTCCACAAGTGCTCAAACATGTCGCCAACAAAGCAGGCATCAAGACGCAATGGATCAACACGGATAGCGAGGTGCGTCCTGAATTCACGGACAGCGAGGACGTCGCGTACAAACAATTGAATGACGATGGATCAAGTGTGGCGATCTACAACGACACCACGTATCCGTCCATCTACATCTTCGACGACTTGTACACGAAGCCGAACGATCACTGGGTGGTCAACTTCATGGACACCATGGCTTGCATGAGTCGACATCGGAAGACCAGTTGCTTCATTGCATTCCAAGGATTCTCTCGATTGAGCAACAAGATCATCGATAATGCCACTCGAATCTTCTTGTACTACGACATCCTTGGACGAGAGGATTTGTGGCGCAAAATGAAGATACCACCACCGAGTAATCTATCCGAGGTACTTCGTGATATCCAGATGGGCATGCACACACGATGGTACTACTTGGACGATGACATGCTAGTCGAGTACGTCCCATACGAGCTGAGTAGCAAACAACAAGCAATCAACAAGATGCGATCGAAGTTACCGAAGGCATTGAGTGATGAACGAAAACGCAAAGAAGTGGAAGAGAAACAACGACAAGTGCAGCAACTCGAAGAAGAATTAGGACGCAGGGGGAGCTTCGCTCCCCGGGGAAGCTACGCTTCCCCATGCACGAAGCAGACCACGCAAACCAAAGTGAATAAGGCACGCACTTACAATCTCTTGGACATCAAAGAAGCCGTTGAAATCAAACCACAGGACTACAGCAAAGCCATCAATACCAAGGAATTCCAGTTCGTACAGAAACCGAGAGATGGAACGCAGAACTGGGAGGTAGGAGGAGCGAAGCTTCCCAAGGCTCCGAGTGATAGAGTCGCTCCAAAGCAGAAGAAAGGCAAAGGACTGCGTTCCAAGTACGATTTGACATAGCCAAAGTGAAAATGGAGTTTTACACTTACACCCTCTGGATAGCCGGGTCAACAGCGTCGTGCGTGTACAAGTGAAGGAGTGCCAGGTAGCCACAGTTGTTGGCAAAGATCGACTGATATTTCACTTTGTTCACACGGAACACACGGTTCGTACCTGCCAACGGGAAGTCATTCATCTCGCCAAAGCTGTCCTGGTAGTTCAGTGTGCCATCGTCTTCACGGAAGCAAGACACGAAATGACCGAGCTTACCACCGTCTTCAAAGGGTATCCAGATGATGCAATTCGCTGGTTCTTTGTACTTCTTTGCCAAGGACTTGTACTTGTCCAATTCCATCACATCGAAGTCGGGTATCTCGAGTTGCTTGGCCAGTTTTCGAACTTCATCGAAAGTCATTGGTTCAGCATCCACATTCATGTATCCGTGCATATAAAGTTTACTTAGTACGGAGGAAGCAGAGCTTCCTCCCGGGGCAGCAACGCTGCCCCTCAGTACACTCTCCTTCGAATCACTGACTTCTCTATCTTGTTCTCGTTCTGTGGAAGGGCTGTGAGGATGCGATTCTTTTTTTTCGTCGGGACTTCAATTGCTTGTGTCTCGTTATCCAGGTCAGAAATATCGTAGCCAGTGCCGGCTTTGCTTTCCTTTCCCTGAATCTGGTTTGCTACATCACTAACCGTACCCTTCGCCATGTCACCTATCACATTCGCGAGCTGCTTCACGGTATCCGATCCTGTCTTCTGGTTCACATAGTTCAATCCCTTGTTGATCGCGTTATTCGCAGCATTCGTGCCAGCATTCACCAGAATATCGGTGATGGGTTTCAACTTCTCGGCATTGTTGTCGTACCAACCTTTGATCTTGTTCCAAGCATTCTTGAAGAACGTACCAACACGACTTGAACCAGCGTACAAGGCACCACCTCGGACTTCAATGTTTTTACTTTGTCGTTCGATGGCTTTCATGGTCTTCAACACGTCGTCGTAATCGGATGGGTTGATTCCATTGAGGAACACAGCAGAAGCTCCTCCGAATTTCAGTGCACCTCCCTCCTTACCACTAATCAAACTTTTGAGACTCGAGATGATCTGTGGAGCCATCTGAATGAGCGCTGGGATGATCGTGGCAGCGAGAGTACCAAGTGCTCCGCCCTTCTTGAGACCAGTCAGCTCGTTCATCAATTGCGCTTCATTGAATGCCAAGGCGCCACCTGTGTCCGAAGAGAAGCCAATGGCACCACCGGTGTCCTTGGTCGCCCCATTGAAAGCAATGGCGCCAGCACTTTTCGCCGAAGTTCGCTTCGTCGCCCCTCGTTTCTTCCCTC